AATCTATACCCAAACATTTGTCTGTACAGTTGTCCCTAAAGTTGTAAGATTTGTTATTCATTTTATTTTTCTTGATTTGATTTATCCGTAACGGGGAATTTAAACTGATTTAAATTTATTTCAGGAAGCAAGTCAAACGTTTACGTTGGTGGCGAAAAAAGCCCCAAAGGTTATATGTGGTTGGATGGCAGTGATATCAAAAACAACTCGTGGTGTCCGGACCAGCCCGCTAAAAAGAGTTGTGTTCAGCTGGGGGAAAAGAAAGGATTTTGTCTTGATGATACATCTTGCCGTGATGCAGAGGCAATACTGTGTGAAGTACCTTTGAATCAATAGCGTTAGAATCACTCTGTACATTTGTTCTTGCGTGTTACGAGAATGAAATCAGTTAGTTTCATTGAATCAGGTGTATGTAAGGGGAGAGATGGTGAGTTACATACACTAGTACATATACTAGAAACCACTGGAATAGTGATTATGTTTTACATATCACACAGTCATCATCCAAGGATTGAACTGAGTGTATATGTTTATGAAGCCTGTAATGATTTGCCTATATATCAGTATTCTCCGTTGTAATTTTAGCTTAATGTTACGAATTAATTTGTATACTGTGTGCATGTTTTTCATGTTGTTCCCATTAAAAGCGCATACGTCTGCTGTACGATCGTATACTTTTCTCGGTGATGATCTTACACAATACCAACTGGGGGGAGGACATGTAAACCTTGAACAGACTTTAACTGCATGTATTTCAATTGAAAAGTGTCATACGTTGTTACACATACTTCTTTCGAGAAGAAGGGTTTTCTATGCATCGATATGTCAGTTGTCAATGGATTCATACACATGTTTCATGTATGACAAGGCTGAGACATCAATCGGAAAAGTGAGCCATGTATTTACCGATTACAGTCAAGCAAATATACATGTTGTATTTTTGCAATAATTCAGGACATGCTTGACTATAACCTTTTCATGACAAGGGATTCAAAACGAAAGATTTTCACCTTCCGTAAATACTCAAGTGGGTATCTCCAGTAGCCAAAACGAAGACCTAGGTGTAACCCTCAGTTGTTTCTATTCATTACTTATAGTATGACCAGACATTATTGAGAATTTTAGGAATATGATTAACTGGATTTCTAGTGTAAACAACCTCGACCAGCTACCAAGTGCTTGGTTTCATTAAAGAGAGACAACTCCGGTATTCCTTTTCATTAGTTTGTGAAGAGTTATCCCCCTTTGTTTACTTGCTAGCAGACGACATTTTCAGTGATCCTCAGTATGGATAATTTAGAGAAACGGAAGTTGATTTTAGCGTATTATAACAAGGACATCAGATCAGCTAAAGTGATTTCAAGTAGAACAGGCATCCCTGTGTCCACCGTTTATCGTGTTTTGAAAAATATTGCAAATAAATATGGCATTGAGCACCAGGGAGGCGCAGGTAGGCCAAGAAAATTGACTGTCGGTGACAGCAGGCGGCTTGGTATTCTTGTTTCTAAAAACAAACGAAGGAATTTAGAAAACCTAAGGCTGGATATGATTGATAGAGGAACTGTGGCTGTCTGTAAGGAGACAATTAGAACTGAGCTGCATGCAATGGGTTGGCAGAAACGTCCAGGAATTCCATCACCGATCATGAAACCTGAACAAAAGGAGCGAAGGTTGAACTGGTGCTTACAGCATAGAAATTTTAACTGGGACAATGTGATTTTCTCAGATGAAAGTTCTGTGTGGCTGTTTCCTAATGCACGGAAAGTCTGGACCAAACAAACTGAAAAACCTTTGTATCTGCGCTCAAAGTACAGTCCGAAATTTAACGTGTGGGGTGGCATATCTGTGTTAGAGGCAACGCCTCTCTGTGTATTTGAAGGGAATACGAACTGTGAGCAGTACACAGATATTCTCGAGGGACATTTACTTCCATCTGCTCACGTGTTCTATGGACATTTTTGGATTTTCCAGCAGGACAAGGACCCAAAACATCGTTCAAAGCATTCACAGGCCTGGTTTCGGACCCAAATTATGACATTATTAGATTGGCCAAGCTATAGCCCTGACCTAAATCCAACAGAAAATGTTTGGGGACTTATGAAGGAAAGTGTCAATAAGAAAAATCTGACAAATATTGCTCAAATGAAAGAAGAGGTGGCCCGATATTGGAACAGCATGGACCACGACTTTCTAACTTTTTCGATCAGTAGTATGCCCCGCCGCATTGAAACCTGCATTGCTGCCCATGGTGACTTGACAAAATACTAACTGTTCACCTGTCTTTGAATCTGGAGTAATGTTCTGCTAATATTGACATATAATACGTGAGTAATGAGTGAAAAAAAATTACAATCTTTAAATTCTCAATAATTTCTGGTTGTACTGTATTTACACTTGTCTGGGTGTCTCACTGCTTTTCCAGCAGATCACAGATGTAACATGAACAAACGGATGGACGACCAAATGAACGGACAGACGGACGGATGGATGAATAATAAATAGTCCATTTGCTGGGCATTTCTGCACTCATAATGCATACTCGAAGCGGATCAAATTTAAAGCCACACATCACAGGATTTAACTACATTCGTTTGATACCATTCAATATGTAGGGTAGGCGTTTTGGGACAGATAGATTTTAGATATAATCGGAATGATGAATATGATTGTGCAGTTCTAGGATTGTGAGGAAGGCTGTTCCATTCCGTGGCTGCATAGAACACATGGATGTTTGTCCATACCTTAAGGTCCTGACTCCGGGTACACATAAGGGATTATGTGAAGCGGATCTGAGAGATCTTGCTGGTGTGTGCAGCTGAAGGCGTTCACAGAGATAGTCAAGAGCAGCACCAGTTACACACTTACATGTGGTGTACAGGACTCATAGCAATTCTCTCACTTGCTAGCAGACGGCATTTTCAGTGATCCTCAGTATGGATAATTTAGAGAAACGGAACGGTAGCCAGTGCAAGTCCTGAAGCACAGGTATGATATGGCTTTCGACATGGAGGAACTACTCTTGCACAAGTAATCTGGGTCCGTTGTAGTTTTGAAACTAGCACTTGCGGAGCCCTGGCAAGTAGGCTGTTACAATAGTCTAATCTAGACTGTACAAGAGACAAAACAAGGATTAACGTTGATTTTTTGGTCAGACAATTTCTTATTGCTCCTACATTTCTCAGTTGAAAGGAACAGAGTCGTTGTGCTTGTCGTCGTTGTGCTTGAGTCTGTTTTTGAGCATCCATGTCTTGATATTCTGGCAACATTGTGTTTCCTTGGTTGCTGCTGATGTTGACTTGGATTACATCTGAGCACAAGCTCTACAGGTCAATTTTAACAGCAGAACTGTCAGATTGTGTTCTTAATCGTAGAAGTAGTATTAACGATGTTTTAAAAATCCTTAGATAGAGGGTTAAAACATAGTCAAAAGCAGGATTGGAATGATTTGAAAAAAATGTTTAGTTTAGTGTGGACAGACAGACATACATTGATATTGCACAGGCAACAACTGATGAAATTCCCTCTCCACTGAAGGTTGATATTTTTGCAAGTATTATGGAAGAAACTTATTCAAACTACTTGAAAGTTGTTAAAGATTAGTCAAACAGTCTTTGAATGGGAAAAGTGGGGGAAATGCTGAAATATCTTGCAAGAAGCCGAGAGAAGATTTGGAAGAGGCGAGTGACTGCGTCAACAGTAATGGCGTCCGACCCCGTCGTTCAACTCACCAACAACAATGAAGCCTCTTTAAGTGCACTGAGTAAGTCCACAGCGGACATTAGTAACTGCACATCTGAAGACGATCAAACAGATGTTGCTACAAGTATGCACAAAATGTCAGATGCAGTTACGACTTTGATAACAGAATTGCGTGGAATGAAATCGCAACTTACAAAACGGATGAATGGCACTGAGCATTCTCATTCTCAAAATCACAGAACGTTTCTGTTGAAGAAGAAACGAATGTTGTCCGTGTAGACCTAGATCAAAAGTGTGAGGCCATGAACACACAATGATGAGGTTATCTATAGAATGTGCCGATCTTAAGAAAATCTTCAGCCAAGCGCTAAAACGTGACCACATAAATACTTTAATTGTCATCTTAAATCTTCAAAAATCAGATGACGTAGAAAATAACAACAACGTGACTGTGTACAGGGTCTCTTTGTTCTGTGATGAACTAACACTGCATGATATCCACGCTGTGTGCTGTGTAGGAAGACCGGACGACCGAGGGGAAATCAGGCTAGTAACAGTACAACTGGCAAGCACGGAGCATGTGAAGAAGGTGTTCAAGGTGACTTCCATCTTTGAGGAACTAAAATAACCCCCATTAGACGCTAGGATCTATGGAGGGAATGCTGCTGGAACTGTCGAGGAAGGTCCAAACTCGACAAATATAATTCTTTCGAAAATTTACTGTATCCCAAGGCGACTTTGAAATTATTGTGGTAGGTGAGACGTTTCTTAAAGGAGATGATTCTCTCAAACTTGAGGGATATGCATGGATGAGTGGCAATCTTAAAATGACGAACAGAAACCTGGTGGTGTTGGTGTTTTTATCCGTAATTCGATTTTACAACATTTTAACTGTACTATGGTGGTGAATCTACAAATGATATGTTCTCCCATAGATCTAATGACTTTAACGTGTTTCTGGTTATGGGTTACCTCAGCCCTTCCATGTGCGTGACCCGAGGACATCTGCCACATCCTACTCCAGCAGGTCTACACCTTCCAGATCTGTGGAGACTTTAACGCTCACGTAGGTGACAGTGTAGACTATATACAGATTGTCGACCTTGTACCTGTCTGATTGACGTTTTGGTGGATGTGAACTTCTGCATTTTGAATGGTAAAAGCTGTGATAATAATGCTTTACAGATGCAAGTTTAAATGGGCGTTGTGTCGTTAATTATGTTTAAGTACCGAAAGACTGTCCAATCATTCTATCTTCTAAGATGCCTAGCGGTTAGAAGAATCGGGAAGAAAAACATTATCAATTAAATGACGTTATCCCGTTACTGCGCCGTTCTAGTGTGCCCCCTCGTAATCGAACCATTTTACATTACGTCACGATGCATGTCAGGTGTCATCGCCTCGTACGGCCTCCTACAGTAAAGTACTCTGTTGCATCCCGTTTCTTGGTTTGTAGTTGCTTCACGCAACTAACATCACTTGTGGAAACATTACGTTTATGTTTTACGACAGTTAACATGTGTCAATTCGACTCACAAGTTTTCAGCGACACGGTAACGTTCGCAATGTTTATATTCCCACAATGCAATCGTGGAATGTCGCTTTACTACTCAGCTTCATCTGGATGTACTGATCTAAACTTACGTTGGTAGTAGAAATGTGACCTTCATATTGCCCCATATGGTTTACGTTAATGACAAATCAATAGAACAGCGCGTAAATTAGCCCTGTGCGAAGATTCTTAATTTAGGTCACCGACACCGTCGTTTGTTTTCTGCCTTAAATTAATCGTAATTATCCTTAGAAAGTAATATATTTGGCATCTTAGAAAAGAAATACAGTTTGCTCTACCACCATGTATAGTGTAATAAAGCACACTTTTGCCCTGAACTATTACAACGTTAAAGCACTCGGACCCAAGCAACCTCGTACTTTAACTATAATAGTTCAGGGCGAAAGTGGGTTTTATTACACTATACATGGTGGTACAGCGAACTGTATTTCTTAAATAGTCTACACTCTAGACCTGTTAGGTCTCTTCCCCAAAGCCCCCACCCAAGAGCCCCAGTCTGTGGATGAAAGCTCCAAGGATGTACAACGTATACCAGCGTCCCAGTGATTTCATAAATGATGCTGAAGCATATGGGGTTTTGAACACTACTTTGAACGAATTAAAAAACGGTTGTTTGGATAATATGATGTGAATAGTGCTTATGGTGAATTAGTGAACTTGCTATATAGTGACATGGACGATACATTGCAGGTACGGAAAACCCATGACAAAACCAAACAAAGATTTTGTAAACCCTACTGGAATGAAGAGCTACAACAGCAATGGATGAATATTCTACTGATTATACTGTTAAAAATATTTGACAGAGTTAGATATTCAAGTTGATAGGATTTCATTATCACAATTTCGTTGCTCGGGTCATTATCTTATGATATCAGATGGTAGAAAGCTTAACATCCCAAGAAAGGAGAGATTGTGTCCATTTTGTATTATACCAGAAGTAGAAACTGAATTTCAATTTTGTTTTATATGTCCATTTTACAACGAACTTAGGCAGATAGCTTTACCCTTCAGTTACCCTTCAGCTTGAAAGTGTGTCCAGTTATTTTCTTCAACTAATCCATTAACTACAAAAAGCTGGGCCGAATTTATCTTCCTAGCCCAAAAGAAGAGACAGAACTTCCTTTTATTTTGATAATGAATTGACAGTGATGATATTGCGTACGACAATATCTCCAATACTTCATCATTTTGGTACATTCTGGTGCTCGCATGTACATATTTACTTGTAAGTCTTGAAAATGTAAAATGGGCCGGTGGCCCCATTACAAGGAATAAACTCATTCAACAGAAATGAATGCAAGTATCTAGCAGTGAACGTGAATGGCTACGTTGTAGTGGTAGTGCTCAGAGTAGAGACGTTTGAAGGAGATTTGCTGTTATTGGAAAATGACGTTCGGCAAACTTCGGAGAAGGAAGAACGGACAATATCAGTAGAGCAAACAGCTCAATCTGTTGGAAAAGTTACAGAATGCTGACAGTGACCTTTGGAAAATAGTCACGCCAATGGAAGTTATTCAGGAGGACGGCTGTATTCGTACAGCTCCCCATTTTGTTCTCATACAGTGGAAGACTGACTTTGAAAGCAACTACTCTGATAACAAGTCACATCTAGATGCAGACTACAGAAAGCAAGTCATAGAGGACCTGGAAGACTCACTGGGTGAAGATTGTGCGCTGAACGAACCTATATCACGAGAGGAACTTGTCAGTGCGGTGCGCAGAGCCAAGTTGAGGAAAGCCCCTGGGTTAGACAAGATCTCGGTTGAGGTTCTAAAGAATCACCAGTGTGTATGTATTTTGTTCAGCCTATATAAAGTATATTTTGAGGAAGGTGTTATTCCTGATACATGGAGGACCAGTATAACATGTATCAAAGCTACAGCAAAAGGTGACACAAACGTTCGAATCCCATGTTCATACAGACCCATATCACTGCTCTATATACCCTCAAAGTACTGAGATATCCTGAATCAACGTCTAACGTCATGGCTGGAGACATCTGATGTTGAAAAGCAACATGGGTTTCGAAAGAAAAGAAGCTGCTTTGATCATATGTTTAGTCTCTACTCGATAATCAAAATAGACTTGACTCCGAACAACAAAACTACGCTTGTTGTATTGACTTTTAAAAACTTTTGACAATGTGGACAGATCCTGTGTCTGGTTAACACTTAGAAATTGTGGGTTGATGGGAAGATGTTCGAAACGATTCAATCACTTTATGAGGACCCCATGTGTGCAGTTCGTGTTAATAACATGTTGACCCCTTTCTTTCCTACACCGAAAAGTGTGAAGCAAGGATGTTTAATGTCTCCCTCAGTATTTGCCTTGTGCAGAAGATATACAATGGTGTTTTAATTGATGACATGATTATCTCTATCCCGCTCTTTGCAGACGCCTAGTTGGATGAAAGCCTGCAACAAATGTTGGATGTCGTTACTAACTGGTGCTTTAAGTGGGGGTCTATCAACTAGAAGAAACCAAGACAGTTCACTTCAGAAATAATGCTCTTCATGTGATAACGAAGCACTGGACTATACTGATGTCAACATATATCGTGTGATCAACAGCACGAGCATCGATCTGCGCAATTGGGAACCGATGAAATGTGTCAACAAGCCAGCCAGCCCGACCACCCGATCCCGTTTGTTGCCTCTTACGACAAGAATGGGTCACTGAAGAGTCATGCTAACCCGGATCTTCACGGGTCATTAAGAGTGCGCGCCGAGACATGGCTATGCTTAAATCAATGTGACGACATGGGGTATGATGCATGGACATAGACTATACGAGTCTACAGTTCAACCTATACTGATGTACGGTGCACCTATCAAGGGACTTACTAGCCATCAAGAGATAAATATTTTTAATATCAAAATAAACTATCGCCATCATCAAAAGGTAGACATCCATTTCCTCATAGAGTTGTGCACTCCAACCTCATATTTAATAATTTTTCACGTACAATATATTTAATTCAACATTTTAAGCGTTAGCTGTATGAATGAATCATATTGTTACAACACATAATCAGTCACATGATGATACCTGAAAGTCGTTCAAAGAGCAAAGCAAATCTACTCAATGCTCAAATCAGTAGAGGTGTAATTTTTGCTGGAAGTAACAACCTTAAACCAAATAATGCCCAGGGCATTAATGACACCAAAAGTGAAATGTTTAAAATGTCATGTTATTGCCTTATTTAAAAAATATATATATTATATAATATTCTATTCCAAGAGCATTTCGAAGTATATGTGTAAGTGGAAAGGTTCATACAAATATGCGGAGTTCCATTCACGAATTACAATCAAATAGTGATCACAACGTGGTGAGCAGATCTGGGAAACATATTCTTTACAAAGTTTATAAATACTGTTATATGATATATATTTCATCATCAACTTAAGAATTGGGGTATATACTATTGGTTCCTGGTATGGTGGCCTAACTTCTAATGCGTGTGGTCTAAAGTCCGTTTTAATTGCGCGTCAAAACTGCATTCATGTGACATAGCGTTGCTATGCTGAAAAGTCACGGCAGGACCATGTAGCAGCAAGAATGGCAGATGAACTGGGTGGGCTCATAACAATTGATACTGTTAGGCAATAAGATTCTCCTTTTCGACTGTCATTTCAGATCGACATGAGTTAATATTTACAGTCACGCTGGCAATATTTCAGCCATATCGTGACTTTCAAAGGTGAGGTTCTTGAGAGGCATATAGCAATAAAGAACAAGTTTTTATGGGTAACAACTTCTTTATTTCGTGAGTGCGACGTTTCGATACAGATTCTTGTACCGTTGTCAAGCACGAGTGATACATGAAGTGTAGGAGCTGCATATATATACTGTATATAACAATGAAACAACATAATTGACAAAGGAAACAACATAATTGCCATAATTTGCTAAGCAGTAAGCTGATGAAGCCAGTGAGTACAAAAAGGATAGTGAATAGAAGCCAGAGATGTATAAATACAGGAGTAGTTACAATGAATGAGATGTTTATACAATAGATTGGGCTTGGTGGAGGAGTGGATCATAAGCTGATGGAATTAATTATCTTGGTCACGGTTGATGGTGGGCTTATGGCGTTTGATGTGAATGGCTTCGGTGAGCTTGCGTTTAGTGAAGTCCGTTTGGTTGTTGGCGAGAATGGTGATGTCGTCATATAGCAGTTGGTATTCAAGTATAAGACAAAATACTATGGATGTCAACTTCTTCTTTATTCAATACACAACGTTTGTGGGCTTTTCCTTGCCCCTTCGTGAAAAGGTCATTACGTTACTTTCAAAGTTATACATAAGAAATAAGAATCGCAAGTAAATTTGGAAAAGAAAACCTGTCGACGAAGGAGTCGACGACGGACAATAAAACAACTAGATTATGACAGAAATACATTTAAAACTAACAATTAAATCTAAAACAGTTCAACTAAAAAAGAATACAATATTAAAACAGGCTGTAGATTGCCAACATCTGAAATATTGATTTATGTATCTTGACACTGTCGCTGGTCTGGTCCATGAAGATCTCTCAAAAAATGTCATCATTCTTTGTTCCTTGTAAATAATCAAACTGTATTTTTCAGGGAACCATTACTGGTGTGAATAACGTTTTGACGCAATGAATACGTCTAATGTGATCCATCCTTGATGGGGGCCATCTCTGGGATAATGGAAATAGGAAAGAGATGAAATGCAATTCTGGCAATGAGACATTTGGTACACAAGATAGAGTTACACACATATGTGTATACCTAGTCTCAGGACAAATACATCGTTCTATTTCTGTTTAAAATAGATTTCTTATGAATGTGGAAAGGGTTTTGTCGGTTAATGTTTTTTTCTCAATAGAAGATTATGGTTACTGTTTAGTCTCACGCAATAGAGAGCCAGTCACAACAAATGGTCACTTGAAAACGGGTTCAATTATTCTAAATATTTTTTATACATTTCCGCCGTAAATAGTAACCGCATAAAGACCCTGAACTATTTTAATTGACACTCCCATCAACGTTGTAAAGGACACCATGTTCTTGGATCATATTTTCGGTTCTCATTTAACCTTTCTGTGGCAAATTAAATACCTTAAAGCTAAATGGCTAAATGCACTCGACCTATTGAAAGTAGTTTCTAATTCAAAGTGGGAAGGGGTCAAGCTACCCTCTTACACTTGACAACTGAGTAAGAATATCTACCGAAACTTCGCATCATAATATAATTTACAGCTATAAAACCATTGAGCCAAATATGGATGTGGAAAGGGTTTGTCGCTTCTACTTCTAAAGAGATCAGTTGGATAAACCCGACAATGCTATATGTTACAATCCCTCCAACCCTGCCTCTAAAGCAATTTAACCCTCCTTATCACACCTTGTATGATAAGAAATCTAACCTACTTGCTCCACTTCGAGTCCGCATTCAGCATGGAAATTTTCTGCAAGTGCTGATTTCAAACTGCTTGAGTGAGTGAGTTTTGGTTTACGCCGCGCTCAGCAATATTCAAGCTATATAGCGGCCAAGCTGCTTGAAGTGCCACCGTGGCAGACACTACAGCCTGAATTTTGTTTGGAAATATCCAAACTGAAAAGGGCTGATACAAACTTCTTGTCATATCCAGAAGCCTCAATGAGTGAGTGAGTGGGTTTACTTTTACGCAGCATTCAGCACAAATACAGCTATATGGCGGCGGTCTGTAAATATTCAAGTCTGAACCAGACAATCCAGTGATCAACAACATGAACATCGATCTGCACAATTGGGAACCGATGCTATGCGTCTACCAAGTCAGCCAGCCTGACCACCCGATCCCGTTAGTCGCCTCTTACGACAAGCATGGGTTACTGAAGATCAATATTCTATCCCGGACCTTCAATGAAATCAATGAAACATCAATATACACGACGTATGTACAAAGATGGGATAAAAAAATAAGAATGTCAGCTGCAGCTGTTGATAATACTTTATCACTGCGAAATGGTATTGTTGGATGCACGCCACAAACTGCAAGACCGACTGCACAATGAAATCTACTCTTCGGAAGCCATTGTTCTTTTTATACACTGACCAAAAACCAATGGTCTCTCAATGCATTCTTTGTCGCAGCCCACTAACTTTCAAACACCTTCTGTTTGAATATTTTTACACTTTCAACCATTTACAACCGTTTCTTTCCATTTAATTTTCTGCTGAAATTTATACCTTTTGGTAAGACGCATAAATGGTAGGGGAAACTTCAATTTTGAATGTCAATTTTAACCGTTTACTGTGCTGATGGACTGATAATGCAAGATTTACTCCCTCCCTCCCTCATTCCAACGGGACTTTTAACGGCGGCAGTTATGCTTCCGAAATTCCTATCACCACACGAAAGAACAATTCAATGAACTTTGATCCGGTGATTTCAGTATAATTAGATGATAAAACCGGTTAAATATTGGTGTAAATTGATTATGATAGATACCAATAAAATACCTTATCAAGCCTATTGCATGCTTAAGACACTTGATGATGTAGGAAGAATTACATGGGCATCGCATATCAGAGATATTTTATTTCAATTTGGTTTTGGTATTTTATGGATACGTCAAGACATAGGGAATGTAACATGTTTATCTCGCTTTTTAAGCAGAGAGTGTCTGATTGTTTAAACCAAGATTGGCTCATACTGTTTCACTTTTGATCAAATGTCAGACATACTGTCAATTTAAGACAATGTTGCAAGGTGAAAGGTATCTGTCCTTAGACATTCCATGGTATTACAAACATGTTTTAAGCCAGTTCAGCTGTAATAACTTCAAACTTGCAATTGAAACAGGGAGGTATAATAATACACTGTACTGTAATAGACTTTGTTTATATTGTCATAGCAGAGGCATGTCATTGCTAAGTTTCTGATGAAGGCTCGTAAAATTAGAAATGCATACATTTCAGCCAATATTCTACACATTAAGATCCATAGGTTATTTCTTAGCTATAATATGACTATACACTGTGCAAAAATGTCAGACACTTTACAAAGCAAAATTGTATGATTGTTACAACATACTGTCACTTTATGACACCTGTGCAAATTGAAAGATATTTTTGTTTAGATATATTCTACAGTATTATACACATGTTTATAGAAAATATATATCTAAATAAGCCAGTCAGATATAATAACTTCCAACCTCCAACTGTAACAAGGAGGCCTAATACACTGTACTGTAATAGACTCTGTTTATATTGCTATAGCAAAGGCATATCAGAAGTTGAAGATGAATACCATTTAATTGTCAGTGTTTGAAAGATGCATAAGATTGAATGTGTTCCACCATACATATATATTGGTAAGCCGTGGAAGGATAGTTTTGGTAGACTTGTGTCATCTAAGGATGATGTTTTGATAAGTAGTGCTAAGTTTTCTGATAAAAGCTTACATAAGATCCACATGTTATCTTTAGAAGGGTATATGGTATTATGCCTGTACATTGTGCAAAAATGTTTCCATAGTTTACAAAGGCAATAATGTATGACTGTTACTGGTTTACCAGCATCAAATAAACTGTAAACAAGCATTGTCACTAAGGTGACATAATTCCCCGCCGAAAATTATCAAATCAAACTTATAAAGTAATGAAAGCTTAAGTTAAATGTCAACAAAAACATGACCAGTCAACCTCTCTTGATATCTTGCTCTTTAGGTGTTCAAACGTCTTCCTATCTCAAAACATGCTAAAATGAAAACGAACTTATATTCTAATCGTAGTATAAATATTTAAACAATGAATCGTATGTCAAATTATCGTTACCATGGCTGTTTCACCTTTTGCTTAGGAGTGTCAAGGAGTGTAATAAATGAACGACATTAGTTATGGCAATACCATTACAGATGACACTGCCGACCGTAAATCTATTCTTTAATTGGTTGTTTTAATGCTATCCCTAATCTCTGGGTATATTATACAGCTATATGTGTGATGGAGGAGAGCTTGCGTCGCCACTTTTCTCAATGATCTCAGTATAATTATTTTTATGAATAAGAGAGAACACTCATATCCCTTTAGAAAGCGTTTTTTCCTACCTATACTATTCAGAAACGAAACGCATAATCCAGAAACATGTGTAACCCGTCAAGAAATACACTTTAGCACTTGCATTATTACATCAGTTTAGGAAAAGGAAATGTCTACACAACCAAGTGGATAATTTAGATAAACCATTCACAAGTTTTGGCAACCTTCAAAGAAGTGCCAGTACCTGTTGTGCCCACCACGTGCATACATTCAAAGATTTATGTAGACTCGATTAGACGTTGTACAATTGCCATTCCTCCTGCACACGTGCGGCTAACTGCTTGAGAGTTTGGGGCTGACGCTGATGGAGATGGCGATCAAGTTAATCCCAAAGGTTCACTATTGGATTAAAGATCCGGGCAACGAGACGGCCTCATGAGCATGTTTACATGTTTAGCGACAAGAAAGTCCATTGTGACACGTGCAGTATGCTGCCTGGCGTTGTCCTGCTGCAACAACTCATGTTGGACGTCAATGGCTGATAGGGGTGTGTGGCTGCAGGATAGTGTCTCTGTAACGCACAACCGTCAGGTTTCGCCGGACGTTGACAGATTACAGGAAGGAAGAAAAACATAGGGACGATGTCATTTTATTGACATTACTTGCTGCATATTATCACATTACAACATAACTCAAATATATCTTTTGAATAACTTTCCGTATGCCCCTGCAAACAAGGGATCAAATATACTCATGCCAATAATGGTTGTCACCCCTTCCCCACCCGAACCCCACACACACAAAAAATGGCCCCCAAAAAAGAAGAACCTGTGGAATGTCTTTCAGAGTGGGTTAAATCAATGAGTGATGTTGTCATTGGCAGAACACACAAACTGAAAAAGACGAAACAGAATTGGAATAAATTCATTCAGTCCCAGCCAGCTGCCATCTGGCCGGCTGCCCCGCATGAGATATTTTTCACTGACTAGGCCTCAAATAACATAGCCATATGCATCATATGCAAACATCATTACATAATTTGTTTGATCAAAGATGCCTCTATGTTAACTGAGGAAGAAATCTGCCTAAATCTTCAACGGAGAGAAGAGGAGACTGAGGCGTTGGCCAAATCCCCCAGTTATGCTTCAGGAACTCCGCCATGTGCTTCCTGAGATATCAAATGCCATTCCACAAGACTTCTTGCGACGTTTGATTGGCTCTATGAGACGCAGGTGTCAAGCATGCATCAATGCTCATGGTGGACATACACGTTGTCCACCCTTATAGTTTGGCATGAAATGCATGTGGACCCGGTTTTTTGTAAATATCTCCAATGACCCAATCGATCTCAAACTGTGCAAGTGGATGTTTTGTCAGACAACCTAATCACATTGTAAATCACCGATTTTATGCATTTGTATTAAAGAATCTGTCTATGTAACTCTCAACAAAATCAACAGCAGGACGCAGAATGCGTGCAGAGGGAGGGAGCCAATGACCTGTAATCCAATAATTATCAATTATTTTTACAGGCTCTACTAGGGATGATGGAGCCATAATCCAGTTTACAGCGAATCAGTGATCGGTATAGTTGGGGGAGGGTTTTCTGACACACACACACACACACACACACACACACACACACACACACACACACACACACACACACACACACACACACACACACACACACACACACACACACACACACACACACACACACACACACACACACACACACACACACACACACTTCGAATTTGAAACAACCTTTAACAAAACTAGGGCGTTCAAACATTTGTTGTTTAAATATTTAATGTGAAGTTAAAAGGTTAGATGTTGATAAAAGATTATACCTAAGAATTTGGCTCCAGTAACAACTTTAATAATATATAGTGCCATTCTAAACTTAATATCAATCTTTAGAATGTTAATATTTTCTACAAAAATGGTACAGTTTGCTTAACTTTGAAAATTTGAATCCATTTTTGAAAGACCATTTATGGAGTATATTTAAGCAAATCTGCTGCTGCCTTTCAAAAGTGTTCATGTTTCTGCCGTGAACATGAAATGTCAATATATGTGAGTGGCGAGCTTTCTTTTTAAAAGGGCATGGTGAACGAAAAAGTAATGTTACACAACAGGTCCTGTTTAACGTTGATACAAGAAGAACGAAGTTTTGTTTGGATGAACAATTAGTAAAATTTAGTGGAATGTAGCGCTGTCAACTCAAATCAAAATCACATAGCAAAAAGAACATAATATTCATTTTCACCACCATTACGCCTACCGTTCACATATATACATTCAACAGGCGTTCAACTATTTTAAGTTGGCGCTCCTGTTCTATTGGAAACACTCTTAGGTAATAGGAATATGACTTTGTTTCCTACCCCTTGTTTATCCATGCAGAAGCAAATCCTCCTGTATGAAGTGTGAATATTAACAGAGTAGTCCATTTTTTTATATTTCTAGTTTTTCTAGCATTTGGGTCAAGGTTATGTATCTGTTTTCAATGGGTAGCGACATGATTGCATGGATTAAATGTTTAAGCAATAAGAAATAGAACGTTTAACACTCTCATTTTAAATCCTTGTGGGTGCAGTGTAGAAGACGATATTATTGGTTAGACAACTGTTTTGAATCATACATCCTCATCGTTATCACTACGCAGACAGAATCTCACGACTTACCCTTTACCTTTTCAGTACGATTACTAAAAGATGAAATGTATATAACACAGTATACCACTGGAAAGAACAGCTTTGTGAAATATTCAAGGAGCAATGAAGATGAAGATATTGATGGTAACCTTTTGGGCTGAAGATGAATTTAATGAAGTTGTAATGGTCGATGTATCTGATATTGACAAATGAGAAATCTCGTTGAGGTCAGCTGAATGTATGAAGCATGATTGGTTTGATAATACGTGTCACTCGTTCAAAGAGCAAGACCCAATTTCTAGAATAGGCTATGCAAGCACAAAGACAAAGCATCACTTAGGGCTTATTTGGCAGTCAGGAAGGTGTATAACTCAGCTTGTACAGAGGTCAAGAGCAATTTGGAACAAAAGCGAATACGAGGTTTGAATGAGGCATTGAATGACTCCAGGCTATTTTGGCGTAAATTTAAAGCTTTGTCACAACTATATTCTGCAGAAACAATAAATTCAAATCAAACTTCGTTTGACTATTTTAAACTCTTTTTGCCAAATGAAGTGATGAAGCTATCCTTTATCAGCTTGATATTCCAGATTGGGAATCTGATTATGGACAATTTGATGAAAGTTCTTCTCAGTATGCTGCAGATGATCTATTCAATGCTTTAATCAGTAGAGGTGTAACTAGCAGCCTTAAAACAAATAAAGCCCAGGGCATTGATGACACCATAAGTGAAATGTTAAAAACGTCAAGTCCTGTTATTTATGAACAATATTATTTAATATTCTATTCCTTTATCTTAGATCTGAATGGCACCCTTGAAGAGCACCCACAACACCCCGATGTGACTACACATTTCATCTCACTCAAAGATCTCCACCTCCCCGTGGTGGGTGCTGTGTAACGCTAAGAGCTCTTCATCCCCCGTGTGGACCCGGGGACATAGTGGTCCACATGCCAGCACCCCATTGCTGGTCGTAAGACCGAATTAGGCAACCTGTTTGCCGTGGGTTGCGCCCCTGTGTCGGTGGAAGAAGAGAGTCTGGTGGTTGAATACAATAGGAGCCTGGAACCGCGTTCCCCTTGCTCAACACACCACTTTGGCCCTAACTGCGCCTGGACGGGTGCTAGAATTTGGCCCGATTCTATCAATCGGCTGGTCTCGCCAGGTCTTGTGCATGGTGACTATTTTTGCATATTTAACCTATTATTGGGTCTTGGTCATTTCTATTTGTAATATACAAACTATTGATATATTAAATTGCCTAGACTCCTATGCCAGAAGGCGGTGTCTCATGGGCCAATCTAGTGATGTTGACCTCCAAATTCAGTATGTATCCTATTTCGTGCCATGGGCAGAACCGCCCTGACATTTAATCAGGTCTACAAATACTGCCTTTTGTGTCAGATTGGAGTATTACACCCCTGTGTCCCTGGTGTCAGCATCTCGGAGATCCGGTGCTACATGACATTGTCCTTGTTGACACTCCGTGGTGGGTGGGAGCAGAGGTGCTGAAACTTTTTTGCTTTCATCATCACACTACAAATGCCTGGTGCAAATCAAAATGAAAAGAAACGAAGACGTGAAACTGTTGATCAAAGAAATATGTCCACAAATGATGATTCCTCGGCTCGTTTCCTGGTGATAGAATCATTGGATTATCTCCCGATAAAACTCAATCCTTTTGCTATTTCCAAAGCTGTATCTGGGATTTGTGAGGATGTAAAAAACTTAACCCGTCTCCGTTGTGGCTCGCTTCTAGTGGAATGTGCATGGAGACAGCAATCACTCAATCTTTTGTCAATCCGAACATTTGCAAATATTGACGTTACTGTGTCCGTGCACAGAACATTAAACACGTGTCGACGCATCATACATCACAGGACCCGTTGTCTGTCCGACATGTCAGAGGAGGAAATTGCAGCAGAGCTACAAGATCAGAGTATGACAGCTATTAAACGTTTCACAATTACAAAAGATGGCGTAATCACAAAAACTAACACCTATCTCTTTACTTTTGCGTGAACATCACTTCAGCAATCAGTCAAAGCAGGTTATTCCAATATCGGAGTGAAAGCATATGTTCCCAGTCTACTCCGATGCTACAAATGCCAGAAATTTGGCATGAATTCCTGTCGCGGATCTGTGACCTGTTATCGATGTGGTGATAGTCACGAAATCACACGATTACGACTGCGACAAAGAATTTAAGTGTGCAAAGTGTCATTGCCCTCATGGTGCTTCCTCTAAATCCTGCCCAGTGTGGCAAAAGTAGTCACAAATAATGAAACCAAAGTGTGAACAAAATATCTCATACCTTGACGCCAAGAGATTACTCCCAACTAAAGCAAACATCACATACTTTGTCTTGGATCTTTCAGAACTTCTACTGTTGACAGTCTTTACATTGAGGCAGATGAACCATCTCTTAACCAACGTCGTATTAAATTATCCTTATAGTATGTAACAAAACTATATTCTAACGAGTCCAACCCTGTCCAACCCTGCATTTAACTGTGTTTTCAATCCTCTTTATGAGGGTCTGTATAACAAAAAGTCTTCTCTTGTTCCGCCTCTGGGACTAAGAGTCAAACCTTTCCTTTCTGCTGCTGGCATTGAGCTAGAAAATATATCACCTTCCCGTTTGCTTTCTTCTCCTTGGCAATTCGTAAGGCCAGAGGTTGACCTAAAACTGACAACATGTAAAAAATCAGAAACAATATAAAGAAGAATGTAATCAATCAAAAGTAAATTATATTACATACAAATCCTTATTTTCAGATGGATTCAAGGATCGTGGCGCAATGGCTTCTGCCACTGTCATTGGATCCAGAACAATTATTCTCGATTACCAGATCACAGCTCATTTTTTACAACAGAAGCTCTCGCCATATGCAGCTCTTAAATATATCAATAAACACCGTAAATATAAACAATACATAATCTTTTCTGACTCTCTTTCGTGCCTTCAGGCTATGAACATCTTATCTTGTAAAGATCCACTTTTAATAGAAATAAATAAATTGTATAATGAGCTTGCTACTGGCCAATGGGACATCGTTTTTTGTTGGTTACCCAGTCATGTTGGAATCTCTGGTAACACAATGGCCGATCTTGCTGCCAAGGCAGCACTACACAAATCTGTGACACCACTTCTTATCCCATACTCTGATTACAAAGCTAGCATTAGAACCTACATCCGTGATCTGATGCAGAAGAAGTGGAACACCCAAGTAGGTATAAATAAATTACATGAAATAAAACCCGCTAAGGCAGCACTCATCAAATTTGTGACACAAGTTCTTATGCCATTCTCTGATTATAAAGCTCTGATTACATCTTACATCCATGATGTGATGCAAAAGAAGTGGGACACCCAAGTAGGTATAAGTAAATTACATCAAATTAAACCAACTATCGGTTACACCTACTTGGATTATCAGTCCAATTTTGAGGAGGTCGTTATGCGACGATGTGCATTGGTTATACGCGATATACACATGAATGCTTATTAAAAGGTTAGGATCCTCCGTTTTGCAACCCTTGTGATGAGAGAATCACGGTTTAAGCAAGTCCTGCTTGACTGTATTGATTTTTCCATCACAAGGGATAAGTATTTCAATGTAACAACTGTTACAAATCGTTTTAGTACTGTTAATTTTCATTTAAACATTGAATTTTTAAAGGAAATAGAATTATTAAATACATTTTGATAAATGCTTTGTAAATAGATAAATGTTTCATGATTAGTAGTTTAAATTAACAGCTGATGTAGCTAGTGGCTGTACCCTCGAAGGGGTTAAAGTACTGTACAGTTATAATACATTTAAACGTACTACTTGTTTTTAACTGCAGCAAATATGCTATTTTAATTTATGGCTAGATTGTCAAAAATGCTAACATCTGAAGGGATCGTGTAAACCCAGCTTCAATATTTACAGAAGTATTGTTTTAGAAATACCCATAATATGATGTTGATAAACCTTCATCTGAACCTGTCATCTAGACCTGTTCACCTTCAAAGAAACAAGAAGATAAAACCTATTATAGCAAACATAATTTATAAAATCCATGTAGATATACGTGTGCACAATATACACTCATATACACATACAAATAATTACAAATAATCATATTGGCTCCATGCATTGTACCCAGCGTGACGAACAAACGTATTAGGCTACAATGCTGCCCCAACTTAACAGAATCCATGCTAACTACAAGGTTCACAAACGTATGCATTGGTATTTTTATAAAGTTGTTGGCAGAAAGCTTGTATAATTGATGTGTCTTTATTGATCGATGTCAAACTGCGCAGTCAGTAACTGCTCTTGTGTACTCATATCCATGCACATTTGCTGAAACCTATTTTCCACCACATAGCATGATGAAATTAGCTCTTATTTTCCTGTCATTTACTCCGGTTCTGATTGTAAAGACGACAAAGGTTCGGTACCATCTGTATGACAGAATAACCTTTCTGGATAACTTCCAAACTGCAGAGACCCCATCCAGTTTCAGACAGACTCAAAGTTTCCTGAAATGTGGATCAGTTTGTTCACAGGACGAGCTGTGTGTCGCTATCGTGCTCCATGGCGGTCAGTGTTACACCTACTCGTCATCTGTTTCGTCATCTGGAGTCGCAAACCACGGTGCCAGAGCATTCAGCAAGCGCGGGGGTAAGCCACGTATTACATACATTATATTATGCCCCCTGACAGATTGCTTGTTCTTCCTTCATTACTCTGTTCAAAACTCGTGTAGCTATTATCCCACTTTGCATTTATCAGAATATATTTCAATGCACCATTGTCATGTTCGATACGATAATGAAGGAGGGACGCACCAGCTACTTAGTCTTAACGATTGAAGTTCCATTTTCACTATAGCCATTTTGTTTAGCTTTGCAGTGTATTAAATATTCCGAGAACAACCCATTTAGTATATTTTATGACAGTTTGCCATTCGTGTAGCAATAAGTGATCGAAAGTCTGAACGACTGATTTTATTTTTTTTTTTGATTATTTTTTTTATATTTTAGGCGAGATTTCAGATCGGCGCCTATAAAATGTCAGTAGCTGATAAGGATATTACCTGTTGGCTTCCAAACCACATTGGAATAAATGATAAGGGTAGTGCTGACGCATAAGTACAAGCTGCTCTAGACAAACAATAACACGCACTAAGATTGTAAGCCAGTTGTAGGGCAGTAGGGTAATCATAACATTTGTATACAGTTGCATTGTGACGTCATGACAAATTGACGTCATAACATAATCCGTTTAACTGTAATCACTTCTCCCTGAAGATAAAAGTGAAACATGTTGGAGAAGATCCGTGTTGTGTAATTATTTCAGAAACTTCTTCTTATATATGTACTACTGTACGCTCGGTATTCTCATCACTTTCTTTCTAAGAAGAAGTTTCTGAAATAATTACACAACACGGATCTTCTCCAACATGTTTCACTTTTATCTTCAGGGAGAAGTGATTACAGTTAAACGGATTATGTTATGACGTCAATTTGTCATGACGTCACAATGCAACTGTATATTAAATGTTGTGACGCGGCGTTGCCATGACGTCACATTGGCGGCTTTATATTGACAGTACTAGTAGCACAATGAAAACAAGTATAATTCAGACACATTGCGTTACCTATTTAACGATGGACACAATTCTTTGATGAAAAAGTTTTCTTTAGCTTTACGCTGCATGGCGTCAGCAGTATTCATTTTATAGAAAGGGAATATTTTAAATTTTATTTCCTTTCCTGCTGCGCAATTGTCAATGTGAGCGCTTAAGGGGATGCACCTTGTTTTGGGGTCCTTAATCTGTTGTTTATGGACGCGCATTCTGTGCCTCAAGCACTCCGTTTGTCCAATGTATTCTTCATGACACCCTTGGCATATAATAACATAAATAATATGTTTTGCGGAGCAGTCCATGTTAGAGCGTACATGAAATAATTGTTTCCTGTTTTTGAACTTTATACATGAAGTTTCAAGTATATATTCACAAGTTCCACAATTTCCCCGTTTACATTTTGAGACACTGAATTCTGTAGGTTTAATACATGAGTCGAATGTGGCACGTGTCAATATGTGTTTTAAGTTACGGCTTTGGCGTTTACTCTTTATCATTGTTACATGAGCCATAATTCGATTCATTTTCATATCAGCATTTAAAATTGGAACATTTTGTCTTATGATATGAAAAAGTTCCGGATTCTTGGGGTTGTGCGTTGAAACATAGGCCAGATTGACAGTGTTATTTATTTGTTTATCACGAACTTTCAACAGTGTCCTTCTGTCTATGTTTATTGCTTTCTTTATTCCATCTTCCACAAGAAGAACTGGGTATCCACGGGACTGTAGATATGATTTTAGTT